CTCGCCGATTCACTGTACGACTCGCCCATTCCGTATAGTGAATCGGCGAGTCACTGTACAGAATCGTCCGGTTCTCTCTAGAACCGGACGATTCTCGTTTTTTTCGCCGATTCAATCCATCCATGGCGATTTCCGAGTCGAACCGGGCGAGTCCGGTTCGACTCGGCGTTTTTTTAAACACTGCTCAAAACTGTTGCCGAAAAAATGCAGTTTAGAATATAATTTTGGCTCGAAAAAATTTTCAATTTGATTGTCTCGACATCTACTAGAAAAAAAAAAAAGATTTCTAGTTTGTAGTATATTATCTAGACTTTTCATATTTGAAGTGTTTTAGATAGGTCATATGTGCACTATTTTTAGAAGTTCAAACTGTACCAAAGTAGACTATGCATGACAAACTTTGAGAAGATAAGAAGATTTAAGCTTGAATCCTTTATTTTTTTACCATGCACGAGTGATATCTCAAGACGATATTTGCCCCCTTTCGATATTGTAAATTGTGTCAGGATATAGGAAAACAAAAGTTTTTCTTTTCAATATTTTAAGACGATATTTACCCCCATTTGATATTGTAAATTGTGTGAGGGATACAGAAAAATAAAAAGGTTTCTTTTCAATATTTCAAAGCTCTATACACTCAAGCTTGAAACCCATAGCAAATATCAAATATTGTGTTGTTTAGAGAAAGAAAGAGAGAAAAACAAGTAGAGAGTGCGCGGAAGAGTGCACTGTGTTGCTCTTTTGAAAATCGTGTTGCTCTTTTGAAAATCGTAATGAGAAGACGTAGTGTGTGCGAGAAAAGGTGTAATTCTTATGGGAAAAAGAATCCCTTTAAAAGAGGCATTCTATTTATTTTAGAAGTGGCTATATGCACCGTATAGGAGTGGCTATATGCATCACCAAAAGCCAATATGAGTGTGTGAAGCGTAAAGTGCAAAATTAAGTGTTCTTGCACCCATGCACATGCAATATCATTTTTATCTTTGTCCTAATAATATAAAACATAGGAATGCCCACACTTAAATACTACTCAATCCACACATTACTCTTCAATGTGGGACCAAACACTCTCTACAAAATAAAGCTATAAAAAATCAAAAAAATAGTATGTTATATTGAAATATACACAAGTATTTTTCAAAACAAAAATACTAACAAAGATAATTAATTTGAGGGTTTTCCAACACCAGAAAAATTTTATATAGATTTGAAATGCGGATTACTTTTTCGATAAGGCCTAAGCATTATTTTAACCTTTTCCTTTTTTTACCAACCCCTAATTTACGAAGTCATTCTATTTCTTGATACATAAATTGTCTTTTTTTTTTTTCCTTTAGTTTGTTTTTTTTAGCTTTTTTGTGATACTAAAAAATAAGAAACAAAGTAGGACAGATGGTCCATTTTACTGTTGAAATCTATTTCTCTTGTGACTGACTGGTGGGCCATTTGATTTTGGCCGCATCAAATTTTCTTGCGGAAAAAACTGGCCTAGGGAATCTCTCTCTAGGAGGAAGACCTTTCCGCCGGACCTTTACAATGAACAGTAGAGTTGGTACCTCAAAACTCTTGCCATAAAATGTAGTTTAAAATACAGTTTTGGCTTGAAAAAAATTTCAATATTATTATCTCGACGTTTACAATCATGAAAAAAAAAAAAAGATTTCAAATCATAAATATAGTATATTTCGTAATATATTGTCTAGACGTTTCGTATTTGAAGTGTTTTAAATGGGTTAGATCTGTACTATTTTTAGAAGTTCAAACTGCACCAAAGTAGACTATGCATGATAAATTTCGAGAAGATGGCCGAGTTCAAGGGGAGAATCGTCTGAAATTGCTTCAAAGATGAAGGAATTTCGGTCCATTTTCCTAATATATAGATTTTAATAACTAAGTAATTCATGATATATAATCTCTAAGGTGGCTGGTCTATAGTACAGTTAGGTTTTGAGCTCTCTCTCTCACTCTCCAACAATAGTGTTTTTGAATGGGCTTCTAAACTTAATGGCCATAAAAATAGAAGGAGCAAGAAGAATGATTTTTTTTTGGTGAATGGAAGAAACGAATTTAATTATGGAAAAAGTTTATATAAGGTTGCAAACTTAAAATGTAGAATTATAGTTGCTCCTCAAAAATTCGTCAAAAAAGATTGTTTCAATGTTGAAAAACCCTCTAATTGATCATCTCGATATCGAGATTAATGAATATGGAAAAAAAAAAAAAGAGATTATAAGTTCCAAAAGTAGTGCATCTTGCAACACATTATCTAGACCATCCATTTTTAAGCTTTTCATATGTTTATAGATCTACTTGATTTTAATCATTTTTTAAGTTTAAAATTTTATAATTAGATATGAAAATAGATTTTCATATAATCCTAAGAATTTGTTATACCAAAATTATATATTATGATAAAATTTAGAGGTGTGCCTTATTTGGATTGTTTAAGGTAAATCACACCCTTTAACTATTGCCATGTTTTATAGTGGGATTTCTTTGGGCGGTATTTTCTAAGTAGGTTTCATTGAGTTTTTTCTCTTTAAACAAAAAAATTCTCGAGTACTTTTTGAGAAGAAAAATTCCCCAAAAAAAAGCAACAAAAAAAAAAAAAAAAAAATTTAAATTCACCTACACTTCCTAAAATAACCTAAAGTCATTTGGTTATAAATGTATATTTTGTGATGATTCTTTTCTTTTTGAAAAAGTATCACATATGTTCTCCAGCATTTAATTATTGTTCCAAATATAAACACATTTAAAGTAGGGGACCTGACTAGACTCGGGACCCGATGGGTAGACCCAAACTCAAGTTCGGATATGTGTCCAATTTTTGGACCCGATGGGTTGGGTCCAGGTCTAGTCGGACCCGACTCGTACCCGTAAACCGTTGGAGATAAAATACTTTATTTTAAGCTCTATTCATTTGGATGTATTAAGAATGTATTATGGATCGTGTACAAAAAGAATTCATAGTCATCTTTATCTTTAGCTATTAAACGACAAATCATGCAACTTAAAATCTAATGATGGGTGATTGTGACCTTGTTACCAATAACATGGGTCTATAAGAGTAAAAAAAGCATAAAAAAGAAAAAAAGTTCATAGTCATAGGGTGGCAAGGGACCCGAGCATACCCATGACCCGATGTGAAGATCCAGGACCCGATGGATAGACCCAGGACCCAACGATGACGGTTATGGGTCCAATTTTGGACCCGACAACAGGGTCTGGGTAAAAAATTTGGACCCAAATACAATTAACTGGACACGACGCGTTGCCGCCCCTAATTTAAAGGGGAAAATGATTATGGGGAAACAAAGTGCCTAAAATAACTTATTGGTTCAATAGGTTTTGATAAATAAGAAGATTCATCAATAGGATAATGTTCTAACTCAAAATGGAAAATGCCAATATCTTCATTTATGAACCATTGACAAATATTTTTAAATTCCAGGCATTCCCCCCCAAGTAGCCACCAAAAAATGGAAAAAAAAATGGGGGGACTGAACTAACCATCTGATAGATGACTGAAGCCACAGTTATAGTCCAAAATCCACCGGCGAAGGAGTCCGAGATGAGGGCACCGATCAGAGGTGTGAGGCTTGCGGTGCCTGCGAAATTGGTCAGGGTGTTTGAAGCCTTCACCAGCGGCATATGCAACTGTTGTGTCAAATAACTGATCATATTTGACATAAGACCAGCAGTTGCGAACCGATCGCACACCTCATTTGCTGCAACCAAAGCACATCTCATTGAAAACAAAAAACACTCATAATTTTTGGTGCCGGAACCACATGTTCCGTCCATTTTTGAGACACAGCTTTGCATTTTAACATAAATCCTGAGCCTGAAACTTTTTTCTTCTAACTTAAGCCTTTATTTTGGTTAAACCGTTTATAAATTATTTACATGGTATTAGAAACATACCTAAGATAAACGGCATAGTCTTGAGTCCACCAACCTTTCTTTCTCCATCGCCGGTTTTCATTTTTCCGGCAACCATTGCACTGGAGAGTGGTCTATCTAATATCCAATTATTCAGATGGGGATATAATTGTGATATACAATTCTCTTCACTTGAGAGTCTCTCTTTTGTAGAGGGAAGAGATAAAAGGCCTAGGGGAGTGTGTCTTGGTATTAGTACCAACAAACAAATAATGTGTCGACAATAGGCCCACCTTTGAATGCTGGACTAATTAAGGTGACTGGAGTTGTTTAGAGAATGCCAAATTGAAGAAATCAAAAGATTCTTGGTCCGTGAGGAATATTTTCTCTATTCACTTATTAATAAAAACTTAACCTAAGAGTATTTTTAGTCATCCAAATTTTGAGATGTAACATCTTCAACCTAGCGGCCAACCTCAATTAAAAAAGAAAAAGAAAGTCGAATGCTTTTTGTATTTGCTTGAGTATATTAGGATAAATGGCAAGACAAGAAGGGATAAAATTCAAAATGAATACATTCGGGAGAACTTAGGTGTGGCTCTAATAGGCTATAAGATGAGAAAAAGTGGACTTAGGGGGGCTGAGTATGTGCAATGCAGACCTAGTATAACACGTGTTAGAATAAGTGAGTTGGTTCAAGTAGAAGGCTCAAAAGGGATGAGGGATAGGCTCAAAAGGACATGGTTGGAACTTGGAAGTCGTGAGCAAAGATATGGGGACTTATAGCTTCAATAAGGGTATAACTCTTGATAGAGCAGAATGACAGACCAAAATTCATGTAGCCAATTCCAAATAATTAGAAAAAAGCTATGATGTTGATGTACTTGAAAAATATAATATATTGAGATTAGACAGTCCATTTTTTGGACATGTATTTAAGGACTCAAAATATATTTTTTCAAAGTAATAATCTTGGGGATTTTAGATTGATTCCCAAATTTCATAACGAAAAAAATCCAAAGTAGCTCTTTCTCCTGAGGTAGTAAGCATGCAGTTATGCTCCCTCAAAAGCATGCGAGACACACTCTATGGAGAAATTTGGGTACAAAAAGTTGTGGTTGGTTATGATAAGTTTATAAGGAATCGAGGGCAATAGGGATGTTTGAATGGTCTATTACTATTCATTAGATAGGCAATATTGTAATTATTATTCTATTTATTTCTATGTAATTCTTCATCTTTATTAATCAAAGTAGGCAGCAAGCCTTCATGGATGAAGAGCAAAAATATTTTTCCATGGGTTTTGGAAATTTTTAAATATCTTCAGAAAAATATTCTCAAGCAACAGATTTGTCGCTATGAGGTGGCAACATTGATTCCCTTTATAGGAAAATTTTCTTAATATCAAGATGTTTCCTAGGTTCCTTCTCAACTCCGCTAGAGGACAGTGGAAACGTGAGACGAGAAAATCACATATTACATAATTGACAATCCATTAATAGAAATAGAAATAAATGAAACAAAAATAGTTATGGTTGTATAGGAGTGTTAATGGGTCGGGGGTTGACCCTGACCCGAGGTGAGTGGGTCGTAGCTGGACCTAGACCCAACCCACCGTATGAGCTCAAATCCCGATCTAGATAAATGAACAAATATATTTTGTTGTAAATATGGGGTCATGCAGACATTTAGATTATATGTAAATAAATGATGTTTCATGCATACATTTAGATTATATGTAAATATGGGTCAAATCGGATTGGGTCAACCATGACCCAAATCCAACCTGTTTGGTAAGGTCCAGGATGGACCTAGATTCTGACCTGACTTAGGCTGCGTCTAGAACATTTGGATCAAGACTAATCCATTGGGGCCAATATTTGGGTTCAGAGTTCAAACCCAGACCTGTATTAGTTTGACTTGTTGGGTCCACAGGTTGGCCCGATCGAATTGCCACCCCTACTGTTCTACTTATTTGAGTTATAGGTAGTGTTCAAAAAATTGAATCGGTAAAAGTACTCGAGACCTAGCCGAGACATTTTATTCAGGTGAGTCCGAGTTAACTCGCCCGAGTCTAGCTTATTTTTTTTTAAAAATAAAATAAACAAAACTA